GGAAAGAGAATTCTAAACAAGGTCTCACCAACTCTGAATTCTGCGATTTTTCTGAAAAAAAAAAAAGTAAAGAGAAGAAGGGAGGGAGGGAATGAAACAATAAATAAGAAAAAAATAAGGGGATGGTATAAGAAAGAATCATGGCAGAGATGGCTTTATAAAAATTATACAACAAAAGTTTAGTGTTTTATAGATGACCCATTCCCACTGGAATTAAGGCTCCTGAAAAGCCATCTTTCTGTATCTTTATCTCTCATTCTTTCTCCCTCTTACTCTCTCTCTGTTCCTCTTCTCCTATTTCAAGAAAATGCCTAGGTATCTAGAGCTTTAGAATGTATGTTCTTTGAGGATATTTGCATGGCAGAAAGAAGAAACTTTCTATCTTTCCTATCATTTGAAGACAACCACTTTTGTTTGTGTTTGTTTTTTGTTTGTTTTTGCGGTACACGGGCCCCTCACTGTTGTGGCCTCTCCCGTTGCGGAGCACAGGCTCCGGACGCGCAGGCTCAGTGGCCATGGCTCACGGGCCCAGCCGCTCCGCGGCATGTGGGATCTTCCCGGACCGGGTCATGAACCCATGTCCCCTGGATCGGCAGGCAGACTCTCAACCACTGCACCACCAGGGAAGCCCAACAACCACTTTTGTATCTTTTAGTTACAAACAAAAACACAGTTCAGAAAGAGAGAATGCTAGTTACCCTGGGTAGGTGGTATCTTTAAGGAAAAGAGATGAGAGACTTCTTTGAAATTGTGTAGAAGAGAGACGGAGAAGATGAACAAATTCCAGAAAGGCGCAGGACCAATAAAGTGACTGACAGGTGGTAAGATCTCAGAACAGCTGGTGAGATGATGGACTGAAGGGGAAGAACCCTCAATCACAGGTTTCCCAATGTTACCAGAGATTTCCATGCCTCTCTATGGCACAGAAGAAGCAGAACCTTTGGTCCCAGAGGGTCTACAAAGGTTAAAACAAAAGGCATCTTAGGGGAAATTAAATGTGACATGAGGTGAGTAAGAAGGTGCAGGGTCTCTGCATAGCTCTGGATGGTGTGTGGGATCTGGGGGATAAGTGAAATTGATGGCTTCTCAGCACAGGGAGACTGGGGATCAAAATCAAAATGAAGGTGATTTAAATAAAATCTAGCATTTGAGGCAGAGGATTCATCATGACAATTCTCCAACACTGCCTCCAATTCAATATGGTAGCATCAGTGCACAGTAGCAGGTGTTTAGTGTATATTTAATGATGTGATATGAAAAAAGAGCTCAGTCTCCCAATGTAACTATGATAAAGATTGCAACACTCATTTGTGCATATGAATTCAAGATGTAAGACTCATTATGATAGGATCACATAAAAGTCACAAGATGCCCAACTTTTAAGTCATTTAATGTCATGTATTCCTAATATTAGCAATTGATTCATTAATGAACAGAACTTTTTCAGAACATTAATAATGATCTGTAATTATA